GGAGTGGGTTGAGGTAGACAACCCAAGTCTACCTCTACTGCTGAAGAAAACAGATGAAATGAGACTCAGGGAATGTGTTTCATTGATTCAAAGATGAGTCTTGAGAGTTGAAGGAGAATGGAGAGAGTTGGAATATATTGTTTCTGATATTATAAAGTCACTTCTACATACAGGATCAAACCTTCTGGAAATCATACATAAGGATAGACTGAGGTGCCATTTGAAGATTCATCTTGAAGGAACGCAAAGGGACCCTGAAGCCAGCAGCCTCTGGTACCTGCAGACACAGCCAGGCAGTTCTGAGAAAATCTGCTCTGCCTGGGAAGGAGCCATCAGTCCTGGTTCTCTAGGAACTTCACATTAAGCTGATAACTAAGTTTGATTTGGGCCCTTGGGGGGAGTGGTGTGTCTATATATATGTGGAATAAAATTTCATATTGAAAATAATATTTCATAGCTTGGGAGATTCTCTTGTATATCAGAATTCATGAGTATAATCTCCCTGGGGGCCGGGGGAGTTGTCAAGAGCTGGAAATTTCCAATCTTAAACCATTTATGTATAACACAACTAAATAAAATGCTTTTACTGGATGTGTATAACACTTCTGCATATAAAACCACACACTCTTTGAATGATTAGAAAGGAAACCAGTTTGTTTAGATAGACCCTATTGCTGATTCATTGTATCAGATTTGCTGTGTGTGTGTGTTCCCACTGTATCAACTGCCCAGTGATATTTAAAACCTCTACTGTCTTCAGTTCAGCATGAAAGCCAAATGGAATTGGGTTCACTCCATTCTCTCTAAACATAACTGCCTTATTCTGTAAGAGTAAATTAGATTTAGTGAAAATTAAAATGTAGGCAAGAAAAAATAACTTCTCTACCCAGTCACCACTGAAGACCCACATAGCCAAGTGTCTGGCATTTGCCTGTCATCTGCTTTTCTGACCACAGGGAGCACCTCAAATGACAGGCACACAGATGGACACATTGTGTGATTGATGGCATCTACCAGGCCTGGTGGTGGGGATGCAGGAAATGGCGGCAGACATGAGCTAGTCCCCTTTTTGGTTTAGTGTTCCTTCCAACGTTTGAGGTAGAGAGGAATCAGAAAAAATTCCAGCCCTATTCTTTGCTGGAAAATCTGAAGGCACCCTTCTTGCATTCTCCAGAATCACTTGCCAAGATCAGACTTTGACGGGTAACTATACCAGCCTTCTAACTGGCCCATCAAAATTACATCCTCCCTCCCACCTTCCCTCTCTTCCTTCCTTCCTTTGTTTCTTGTTCTCTATTTCTTTGTTCTTTTTCCCTCTTGCCTTTTTTTCCTCCTCTTTTTCCCAAGCATTGTCTCACCTCAGCAACCTCAGAGTGCAAACTAGCCCACCAGAGTGGGCTCTCCACTGAATCCCTAAGGAACAGATGGAAGTGTGTGAAACTGGGAAGGGTCTGAACAGGTAGCATTGAAGACCTATAGCAACCTCCAGCCTAGTGCCCTTGGACTTGACCCCAGCTACCTTCTAGCCAAGTGGGTCATTCCTAAACATGGCATTTCTAACACATCAAGAATACAGGAGACCAGTGGGGCACCTGGGTGGCTCAGTAGATTAAGGCTCTGACACTTGATTTCAGCTCAGGTCATGATCTCAGAGTCAAGGATGGAGCCTTATGTTGGGCTCCGTGATGAGCGTGGAGACTGCTTAAATTTCTCTCTCTCCCTCT